AATGAGAGAATTAAAACAGGTGGTGACAGTGGGAGTAAGAAGGATCATGAGGATTACTGACAGGTGTCAAGAAAATTAAAGTACTGTCACCCTAATTGAAGCTAAAAACATTAAAATCTAAAATAAATTCCAGAACATTGAAAAAATTATTGATAAATACTCTAAACATCACCCCACCATCAATTCAATTAATTAAATTAATGATTATTATTATTATCTTAAATGAATAATCATTAGAATATTATGATTATTATAATCAGTGACAGAAAATGTTTAATGAATTTTCTAGTTAGAATAAATTTTGATAAATCTTCTGTATTCCTCGTGTGGTCCATTTTGCCCGACTTGAGTCGTTACTTTTGCACGTGCTTGGAAACCGAATAACCGAGTAACTGTTTGCCCAAGTAACCAAGTACTCGAGCTACTAGGAAATAGACGAGTACTGGAGATAGCGATGCTGAACGAGAATAAAAGGAAAATATAGTGGAAGGGATCTATAGACTGCAATGGACCCCAGTACGAATAAAACACAATGAGAGAAACTGAATTCTCAATGAAAAGGAGAGCAAGGGGTCAATGATCCTCAACAGTATCACCAATGACATCAGCTGGAGGTATCAGTCTATCCACTCTGATAAAAAAAAAAACGCTAATTAAAAAATTATGGATGGAATATTCAGCAGCTCCAGATTTCTAGTCTGCAATTTTCATGACTATTTTTTATATGGAATTGCGAAATTATTGATGACTCAGATCAATGGGCAAATGAAAAAAACATGTGGTGCTATTGTATTACTTGATAAGCAATCATTCTGTTCTTATCAGATTCAAGTTGATTAAAGTATTATCTCATGGAATAAGAATACCCTCTTATCAAATCGTGTATCACAAAAAATAAAAGTTGATAAATTTTCCATTTATTGCCATAAAAATCATCCAGAGTGATTAACAATTTCGATGATTAAATTCCTGAATATGAAGAATTAACAATTTTAGTTGATGAAATTCCTAAACATGAAGAATTCCACCGGACTGAGAATTCCCAGTTGTTAAATCATGATCTAAAAAAAATTAACAACTTTTTTATCAATTATCATATAAATTTATCGATGATCACTAGGGGTTGATAGTCAAGGTCAAATTTTCCAGCATCACTAATGCCTATAAATCCAGCTATTTGGCACTAACTGAGACAGCATTAATTCATTCTAACTCATGAATTTCATTTGCACATAAATATCTCTGGTGATGAGGTCATTTAACTTAAACTTCTTCCTCCTGTACCAGTGGAGATGATGAACTTCATCTCTTGAAAACTTCCCACGGCTAATGTACCATTTCGCCTTGGCAAATTCTCCCCCCTTACCACCCACACATTTTTCTATTTAATTTTTTCCCCATTTTTTGGTGAATCCCCGAAACGCCCACTAACAACAGAGAAAATTCACACTTATTTTCAAACTCTCGGGTGCGCCGCCCTCTCGACTAATTTTAGTTTTGAATGAGACACCGGCCGAAAGGTACAGCTCTCCGTCTCTATTTTCCTCTTTGCCGTGGTGATTCTCAGCTTTTTGCGGATTCACCGGTTTTGAAATTTTGGCAGGAGTACGGGGGGTGATGACCCCGACATTTAATTGTCGAAAATCCTATGAATTCCGGTTGGAATTCGCCCGTTACGATTTTCAGAAATTCCTCTTCTTGGGAATTCTGGAAAGATATTATGATTAAGAAATTGTAAATTAACGTCTTTTATGTTGGGAATTACGATTACATAAGTGTAATTTATGAAGTTGTAAACTGGATCATGATCGTCGTAAATTACGTGGGAAATTATTGTAATTTCCATTTGACGACGGGAATATTCATATTGAATTAAAAATTCATTCAAGTGGTTATTAAAATAAAAATTCCCCGAAATTTCCCAATTCAATTGATTTCTGACTTTTCTCCCTGAGATAAATATCCCCGGAGCAAAGTAAAAATTCGTTTATTCGCGTATGCTCCTGCTTAATTAATCATTAATTATGAAATATTAATCTTCATTATTTATCATAAAATCTTCCAGCGAGATCTTTTTTCTCTCAATTCTCTCGTAATAAGACGGCGTAAAATGACGTAAAGCCGCGATTGAAATAATGACGATGTGATCCAGACACTTGACTTCCTGGTTTGTAAGAGTGAGCTTCAATAATAATAATGTGTGGGTGTGGAAAAAACACATTGGAGTTTTATGGGTTTCTCCAGTGCGATTGGACACTTGAAACTGGCGTACGTTCGATGGTGCATACAAATTGTCTCGTTAAAGATCACTTGAGACATCGAATCTGAAGTCATAGCAAGTGATAAACAGTTGAATTTTAAAACAACAGCATTATTTATCAATGAATTTTCCACTTTATTCTCACTGCCTCCCACTTGACAATTTCATCTCTCCCCACTCGATAAAGAATTCGCAACAATCGGTTCAAAGATTTCTTTCGATCGTCAGCACGACCTGAAAGATAAAGAATTTATTGGCAAATGACATGCGCATGAACTTTACATTTTATACTTTCATCAATTGCATTTTAAATAAATAATTGCATTCCATAAACGAAAAGATCTGAAAAACCAACGGGAAGGGTATTTACAACAGGATTTACGCCCCTTCGATGCGGCAATAATTATGCAAATTCTGAAATCTGAAAGGAAGTAATTGTTTTTTAAAAAATCTATTCAACTAGTTTAGGATTGGGATAAAAAAATAATCTAAAAAATCATTCATATTTTAATCTTTATTTATTTTCGCATTTAATTTCATATATTTCTGTCTTTATTCTGTTAGCCAGGAGATCGACCTTCAAACTTTGCACATCACCATTCGTACAAAATCTCGTTAATTACACTTTCCTTCATTATAATCCTCATGAAATGACTCTTGAGTCGCATTTTCTTGTATTATTATTTTTTTCCATTTTTTATAATTCATTTTTCATTAATGATGAAACGCAGTATAAAATATTGTATAAATATATAAATACGATTGAAAAAATAAATATATTAAATTAAAAAAAGGAGACATACACATAACCGTAATATTACTCATCATTAATTATTATAGTGGTCAAGTCTATAACGTGGGTGATCAGGGGTAATTGGTAGGGGTCAGGGGAAAATGGTATTTATTTTCGTATCAGACGTCTCGCGTCCCCGAGGGAAAGAAAATATTCCAAATCGACGAGAAAAAATAAAGAAGCGAATGATAGATTAAATTGACTGAACAATTTGCAACGAATTTTCCACGAAGACTAGACACCCGAGGTTAAATGTCTGAGTACTAATTAAAAAAAAAAAAAGAAAGAATAAAAATTAAAGAATTTGATCGTGCATGCAATATTTATGGGATGAGAATTCATTACTAAAAGAAAAATTAATAATTTTTCTGCCCTCGACTGCATAATCGTCTGGAAAATAATATCAATGGAAAAAAAAATTTTTTGTACTGTTAATTAACTTTTTAAATTAATTAATCGTATAGTTTCCCCTGAGGTACCCAAGACGTCTTTTTAATGAGCTCAGTTGAATTTTCTTTGACTATTATAATGGACTTGTGGTTGAGAAAAAAAATAATATTCTGAACATAAACGCTTGAGAAATAAATTTTTCATTCTCACACGCCACTCCTCATCACTTTCCAATTAAATATACACTTTAATTAATATTCTGTTGATCTATACTACGAGAAGGCACTCAGTGGTTCGCTAACACCGTTAATTGATAATTTCCCAATTTATTCGACAAATTAATTATTTATTTATTTATTCAATCATCTCAAAAGCGCTGAAAGCGAGAGAATGAAAGTTCTTAGTCGCTGAGAAAATAGTGATAAACGGGATATAATATATATCAATATATAATGGGCGTTACAAAATTAAATAATCGTTAAATAGATAAACACGATAAATTCGATGATTAATAATTAAATTGTGGCTGCGTTAATCCCTAGATGAAATAATTTTAATCTGTTTTAGTTAGAAGAAAATAGTGAGGATTGGAGTCATTATATTGTCTTCATCAATAACCGGTGGTTAAATTTTCTCACTGGAAAAATTATCCAACGAAATGACGTGCAAATTTGAGAACAAGTGGGATACAATTATACGTTAGATAATAGAAAAAGAGAAAAAAAAAGTATTACAATTAATTAATCGTAATTGTTAACCCATAATTAGTGGCGTTAATAGACGGCGATTATTGACTTTGCCATTTTGCATTTACCTATTTGCGAAATAATAATAATAATGAGAAACGAAATTGCTAATTGGCGGTGGTTTACTCCTTTCGTTACTGAATTCAATAAATTGGAAGAAATCGAGACAACTGAATCACAAGTAATCACATCACATGGCTTATATTTTTCCTTGAAATAATAATGATAAAAAATAAAAATAAAAAATAAAACGAGTTGATTAACCACTGAGAAGTAGTAAAAAAAGAAAATCAAAGAAAACAAAATAAGAAATTATAGTTAATTGCAACGCAGGAGTCTCGACAAATATATACTTTCCCCCATTTTGATGTGAATAATTCTCCTTAATAGATTTATCGCAGGATAGTACACAGTATTAGTTAATTAATAATAAAAAATAAACTAAATCTATAATAACATTTCTCAAGTTATAAATTAAACGAAAAAAAAATTATATGTACAAAGTGCTTTAATAGTATTCTTCAATTATTTTTCCTTCTCGGTGTCTCACGTATCACGTCGTAAAATTATTACAGAGGATTATTGATATTGAAGATGACGTGATCAATGAGAGTAATGAGAAGTATGAGCAGCCGGGCCGAGCCCTGTCATCCCCGCCCTTCTTTTTCTCTCAATCTCAATCAAAGAAATAATCGTGAAAATTTATCCTTTTAAAAAAAAAACTGCTCCTGAATTTTTCGCAAAATAAATTTCATTTCTGCTCTTAAGTGAATTATTAATAATAGAATGTCTGTTAATCGTAAATATTTCTATTGCAAATAGTTACATATCACATTTTTGTTTTTTTTCCTCAATTTTTCTTCATATTCATCATAATTAAATTAAAGGTAAAGAGAACGTGAAAAAGTGATATTTCAATGAGTTGAAATTTCCTTTGCTCACCGTTTACTCATCTATCCACGTAAAACCAAAAATTTTTTATTCCCCGAATGCGCGTTATTGATTTTTAAAAAGCTCATTTTGTCAGAATAAATGATAAATCAGTAAATCCTAAAAGAGCCGAAAGAAAAAAAAATCATCAAATGAAATAACTTCCAAGTTAATTCTCGTCTTTTTAAAAATCCACCGCGTCCATTCATCAACTCTCCATAATTGTAATCACATTCATTCTCACTAAGCAAAAAAAAAAAAAAATTAATAAACATTGGAAGACAATTAAAGTTACTAAATTAGCCGGTAAAATCTACCCTAAACTCTAAACCTCGTTAAACATAATCTACGCTCACAATGATCTCCCAAATCATCACCCAATCTTTGATTAAACCGATAGCTCTAAAACTCCATCATTATCACTTTGAAACACCGTCAGAGAAAAAAAAGAGAAAGAAAGAAAGAAAAAATCCCCAATATATTATAAACGACATCTCGGAAAGACGAAGAGTCCCGATAAAAGTGTCTCCCCAATATATTTTGGAATATTGCAACGTCTCACCTGCTCGCGATTATCTCTCAATCACGAAAGAAAGAAAGAAATTCTATCGATTAATCCTAAAACTACCGGGTCACAATGTCTTTACACGATAAAACGATAAATGATGATAAATCGTCGACAAAAGGATTCACAACCTACCGAAAATCGAAAAGAAAAAAAAAAAAATCGTGAAAACCTAATGAGCAAAAGCCCCTGAAACCCCAAGTGTTAAAAATAATGGGATAATTTGGTTGACGAATCCTCAAAACAATCAAGAGCAATAAAGAAAGGGTGTGAACCTTTGAGAGCCTAGATCTTGAGTCCATCGAAATCACCAATGACACTGCTGATCCTATTGAAAACTGGAAGTCTCGATTCAGCATTTGGTGACAACGGTGAAGGTGTTCTTGGTGCAATATCATCAGATAATGGGCTATTGCCACTTGGTGGACTGGGTGTGTGCCTCGTCTGCAGTAAACCAAAGTCCTGTCCAAAGCTGAATGCAGTAGTAGGTGCTGATGAGCAATCATCACTGAAGAAGCTAGCCATTGAATTTGTCGGTGATTGACTGAGACTTGATGAAGGTGATACAGAGTCAGCTGTACTGCCAAGTGAAAATGTTGGACTCAGATTCAACGGTTTTGGTCTAGCACCACCAATAACCGACGTATGATGAACATTATGAATATTGTGAGACTGCGGTGTAGCGAGACTCAACGATGTTGTTCTGAGCAACGGTGGATTATTGAATGTCTGGTGTGTACCTATGCTGAGTGAATTGGCTCTGATGAGTGGTGGTGGATTATTTGTCATCATCTGAGGTGATGTTATCTGCTCAAGCAGTGATATATTCATATTGATACTGGCAGCTGCTGCACTTGCACTCAATAATGGACTCAGTCCCATGATATTTGGCTGTGTGCTACCCAATTGTGCGCTAACTTTTTGATTATGAATTCTTGCCTCCTCAAAATTGTGGATAAAGTGACAGCGTGGACCGTATGGACAGAATCCTATTGTGTGAAATGTACGGCACAATTCGGTTTTGTATTTTGGATGACGTTGTAAATTACGCAGCTCACTGTAACCATGGGCAAACTGACACTTGTCACCGTATTTGCAAGCACCTGATTCCTCAAATGGACGACACAACTCCGTCTTGTAGCGTGACGTTGGCTCACTCACACTTCGATCGAGTTTACGATGTTGCTCGATCAGTGTTACCAATGATGTGTAACTACGACGAAGAGGTGCGTGACCAGTATGATTTGAATCCTTTGGCTTTGACTGGCCGGCGTTCTGAAATCATAAAGATTATTATTTATTAATGACGCTGTCTCTCTCATTGGCACTCTCCTCTCTAGTCCTCAAATCATCTTGCATTAATAAATTCATCGAAATTCACGGAAACTCTGGGTTACGTTTCAATTACACCGATGACTCTCTTAATTCTGGAAATTCATTTGCGATATTTTGGATTTTGGGTGACGATTAAATGACGAAATGTCAGTCTCAAAGTTGTCCAGTTAGTCTTCGACGGTGAAACGTCAAAAAAGTGACCCCAAACGATTTCTTCAAAACAAAATAAACAGTTTGACCGGTGCAAGTAAAAACTACCGTAAAGTTCGCATCAACAGTATTTTCTCACACGGAAAACAATTTCACTTTGCCTCATAAACAGACTATAACCATTATTAGTGCATATGTGAACAGTTATCTTAAAATCTTATCAACAAATTATCGTAATAAAATAATTGAAAAATATAAGTAACCCAATGGCCTTGAACTTTGCTAATTAATTTCTCTATTTTTACCGCCTTCAATTCTAGAATCGTTACGAGTGTAAACGATTTTCCAAACCGGTCGGTTTTTCAAGCCTGTAATATCTTAATGACTCTAATAATTCCATTTCCCACAACTTCAATGAATCCAAAATTTTGGGATTGTTATTAGGAGTGAAAATAAGCAGTCGAGGGGATTTCAGGGGGAAAAAGGTACAATAGATGAAACCGTTAAGGTATCGTTAGCAGGTAGAAGAGAACGAGAAAAGGTTGAGGGTGGATCGTAAAATCCCCATGGTTTTATGGGTTTCTCTACCTTTTCCTACCTTTACGGGTTTTACGAGTAGTTTCGGCATCTTTTTTTTTATTCTCTCGAAAGGTGTCCATTTCCGAATGGCTCCAAACTTTTGTCTGATTCGATACGAATTCTCCACCGACCTGGAGTTTCTCGAATGATGACCGGATTTTGGACTCGGTGATGATTATCTGATCGGGTTTCATAATCTCTCGACCCCGATTACGGAAATTTTTTGAAACATTGGAGATGTGTTACGAGAGCGATAAGAGGAAAGATAATTGATGAGGGGGTAGTCGAGAGATGAGAGATGAGGGACAATAAATTAGGAGAGAATTTTTCAAGTTTTCCAACAACGATTCGCATCTTCACTGATTTTTCTTGAATCTTAATCATTTTCCGAACCAGTAATGAGATTTTAATGAGCTCACTGTCACTTTAAAGATTGAAACAATATCTTTGAAATGGGATAATTAACGATTTATTTACAGGAATAAATTCTAAAAGTCAATTAACATGAATGAAAAAAATAAAAATAAAGGGAAAAATTGAAAAATCATCTTCACAGATTATTCGATTTAATTTTAAATATTCAGGAATAAATCCTATTTCATGTAATGTCTGTGGAGTCAATGGAGATTCATCAGTGAAATAATGTCAATGTATTGGCAATAATTCTCTGAATCATCTGACATCGACGATAAATTGAATTTTGAGGATGAGGTACGAGGAGCGATTGAATCCGATATGCAGATTGATTGAATTTCATTCGACCCTCTCCTTCATACATATTGAAAGAAAAATAATAACTCGAGACACGTGATTTCTCCAGTCAATGCCATTGGTGATACCATCGACGTAAACACATTACCATAAAAAAATATTCCACTGGTGTTTAAAAAATGATTAAATAATGCATTTTCAGATTTAATCCCCAGGGGTTTTGCACTAAATTAATGCTAGACTGGCATGTTTTTGAAATTGTGTTGTCCCTTTCAGACGTATACCAAGACTTTACCTGGGAAATTTTCAAAGCACGTGTTCACCGGTGCGTGTCCCATTACCTGAGCTCCGGTCATTTTCATGTATACCCAAGGCGTTTTGCGTGAGTAACACAAAAACTCAGCATTATTAACGACTTTTGTTGGATATAATGAATAAAAATTTTTCATCAACAGTTGAAAAACAAAATATAAGCCCGGAGCATTTTTTAAAAAAATCCTACTTATTATTCCAATGTCATAATCACCTGATGATGATTATTTTGGAATGATTTCGTAACGGCTCAATTCCCAGAGGATGAAGATAAAAAAAAATTAGAAATTCAAGATTATCTGAACGCGTTGAGGAATTTACTGGGTGTCCCAACGAGCTTGAGGGAGAAAAAAAGAACTTTCTCCTTCGTCAGTTGATCTCGAAGGTCGAATCAGTGGGAAGAAACTCCATCATCATGTGACTTTGGACCCAAGTGCTTTTTATAACTGGTCATCATGGGAGAGAAACTCCTGATGCCAATGGAAATTCAATGATTATCCTGCATTCAACTTATCGACTCGAGATTTACGTTACGTAACCGTTAAATATCTGATGTTTGGTCACACACTCATACTAATTGACTTGATCTAAAGTTCTAACGTAACTCCAAGACGAAACCGTTTTTCTACCGTTAGACGATCGAGGGAGATTATCGAGATTGAAAAGCGAAAAAAATATATATAACCGCTGAAAAAATAACTAGAGGCAAATCACTCGTTAATCATTTAACAGTAAAATAAAATCTGATGGTTGGAGTAAGCAGAAATGGTCAGAGATTCGCTGGATTTAATTGATAAAATCTTCTCTTCGGAGAGCCTTTGTTATGACTGAGAGAAATTCCCTGATTGTATCGATAACAAAAAACTAGCAACAATAAATCAATTCCCCCCGTTTTGTTTACATTGGAAAGTGTTTTCTCTAGAATGGCCTCCCGATTTTCATAAACACCAGTAAACGTCACACTGTCTCGAACAGGCGATCCGCCATTTCCCATTGTAAATTGTTGTCTGATTTTGCTTTTTTTTTCTCTCTCGACTGTACGAAAAATCGTCTTAAAATTTTAACAAACTCATGAAACCGACAGAGGCGATTCCATCAGAGCGTTAAAGGTTTCCCTTTCCGGTGCAAAATACCGTGTCGAGCCCTTTCGCTCGGCTAAACCCAATTTAACAAGTTTAGAATTAATATCACTCATTAGTCTCCAATTAAATCGGCAAAAATAAAAACGACCGGTGAAACAACCGATTTTATTCCGTAAATTTCATCATTTGCGATTTAAATTCTGTGGAATTATCTGGCAAAGTCTCGCAAAATTTTATTATCGCATGTAAACATCGACCACTTGAGTTTCGATACGCACCAGTAAATCTCATGTACTCGGATAAATAGCCACACAGTGTAAACATACCCCCCTCCCATTATTCGGTTTATTTTCACTTTTTTTTCACCTCATCATTTAACATCTGATGTCATCAAGTCAGGGTCAATCGACAATATCCAATTTTCTGAAATGTTCAATATATGAATGATGAACTCAGTGATTGATTTTGAAATTCCATTCAAAGATATAATTTAAAAATTTATATAATTTTGTGACCGAAATTGGTAGAGACCTTTGAAAGTGGCAGATTGTCTCCTGCAATTTTCGCAAAACTGGCGAATCGTTTGAGGGAAAAAAAAGTGGAAATAAGGGCGAAACAGGGAGAAAAAGAAGAAAAAAAAATATATAAAACGACACAAGGTGCACGGAAGCCCCTTTGCCTTTCTGTGTCAGGTTTCTTTTCAGGAATATGGGAAAAAATTTTTACCGTCCACCTTTCGGCTGCACAAATGCCCAGAGAATCGGTATTTTATTTTGCTTTATTTTTTTTTTCCACAATGGAGCACGGAATCTCTTATATTTCTTTTTTTATTTATTCGCAGTGTAAAGTGTGCTATGCACGTGGGTACATGTGAGTTTTAGTGAAAAGGGGAGTTACAATGGGGTAAGAAACGAGGGGTGAGTTACTCAATGCCCAGCCCCTAGGAACAGCAACAGGTTTTCCTCCCCCTCGTTCGCTTTTTTTTTTCTTTCTTTTTTTTCTCTTTTATGGTGGCTCTTTCTTCTTCGGCTTGCTTTACCCTCATTGCAACTGACAGAAGTCTCTATTGAAACCAAGCGTGATTCCAGTTTATTGTCGGCTATTTTTATGGGTTTCAACCGATTTTTTAAACGAAATCTTCCCACTGAGGGTAATTATCCCGGTGTCTGTGATTAATTCGGATTTTTTCAATTGTATTTAGAGCCCTGGGGAGAGTCTCAAGGGGTTGAATTCAGAGGATTGGATTAGATGAGTTTTTCGGAGATTCATCGGAAAATAATGGAAATGGTGAAATTTTTGTGGGAACATTTATTGTAGGGCGGATCGAGAGCTATAAAATCGGTTATTACGAAAATTTCAGTATGTCCTCAGGTTTTCGAGATAAATTCGGAAAAGTCAGGGTTCAGTTGATCGAGCGAATCGATGAGTTTATCCGGAGTATCTCTGGAACTAGAGGAGATATGAAAATTTTGTCGGAATGTTTTTTGTCGCGCGAATTGAGACCTATAGAAAAGGTCATTATGAAAACTTTCTTATTTTCATTAGTTTCTGAGATATTGCGCAAAAATCCCCGAAGTCTCCGAAAAATCAGTTAATGAGGGCCTCCCAAAAGAAACAATCATCTCCGTAGAACTCTGACCCTCTGATTCACTCTTGAATAATCGAAATCGTAAAAGGCGGGAAATGACAAGTGGGTTTCTAAAAGTGGGTGTACGAACAATCACACCGGAAATCGTTTAATTATCCCCGCGAACCTATCGAGACCATAAGAAAAAAGAATAAGTGTCTCATCATTTCCCTTTACCCACCGAGTCTCCAAAAAAAAAACATTAAATCAAGAGAAAATGAGAGTGAAAAAAAAAACCAATTCACCTCAATCGCACGAAAGGTGAATTATCCGAGGAAATAGATTTCTCAGTTTAGATCGCGTGTCTCACGACTGAAAAACCCACAGAATTATTTTTTATTCTAATTCGATTCCCTAGAAAATAATAGTTAGTGAATCAATTCTCTTCCTCTACTTGTACTTTCAATGCCAATGAGTAGTTGAAAAATAGTCATTAGATACAGTCAGATGTGACGTTGCAACAGTGGCAAGAAATGGAAAGTGAATCGTCGATTTCTTGGAAGGACGCACTGTCTCATTCCTTTTATCACCAGCGGTAATTAGTAGAAAAATCATGTCATTAACGACTAAAAATCCCCCAAAAAATCTTGACCTACTCAAAAATTTCGAGTCAATGAACATGATAAAATCGCTACCATCTCCACCTTGAATTTCTACTATTAAACCAACGAATAATCAACGCTAATCAATCTACTAGTAATTAACTCCAAGTTCCAAACAGTGCAGATAAAAGAGAATTATTCAAGCCAACTGAAAACTTCATTGACAACCAATAAATTT